TTTTTTTTTTTTTTTTTCCCCTTTATGACGCAGTGGGGTTTTTCCTCCCCTGTATTTTTGGGAGTTGCTCCCCGTGGTGGTCCCCCGCGGTTACAGCTGTAGGTTAGCGAGGCAAATGTTTTCTTTATACCCGAGAGGGTCCGTTACAAACGCAGCCGTTTATTCGCTTCTGGTCTATGTCGCCTTCAACAGATAGGGAATTGGCATCTGCGAGAGATATTAGTCTGGAGAGGGAAATGAAAATGTTTGGAAGAGATGCTGGGGGGTGGGGGGGGCGGGGGAAGGAAGGGTATGTTCCCTTTTAACGGCGATTAGAGGTTTGTCCCCTAACCAGCGGGAAACGCGTGCATACGCAGAGCCGGGCCGAGCCGAGCCGCCTCCTGGCGTGATGCTGGCGGCTGCTCAGACACAGCCGGGGTTCCTGCTCCTTCCCCTTCGGGAGCCTTCCTAGCCTGCTGAGTAGCCCTGCCTGTGAGGGCGTCGTGATCAAGGCTTCAAAAATTTCGAAGCTATTCATGTCAAGCTTTTTCTATTTTGGACTAGTTAGTATGTTACTGGAAACGAGTTAGAGTGAAAACTTACTTGCATTGTAGGCTGTCTTTACTAAAAGACAAGCTTTAGCTGAACCTGGAACTAATTTGATGTATATTTTAGATCATGGTTAAACTGTCATGACTAAAACAAAGCCAGATCGAACTATTGCAATGCTCTTTTCTTGCAGTCTGAAAATTGCCTCTTGATATTTGACTGTGCTCTAAGAGGTCCATTTTTAGTCGGTTTTTCTGCTGGTTTAGGTAGGTAAGGGAAGTCATGGGCCGATCCTAATGAAGTAAAGAATACTCTGTTTCCAGAACTTTTGTCATTCCCCCTTTTCGCTCCTTATAGGTGAAGTTCCATGAGGAAACGTTTGCTCTTTTGAGTCTGTCCTGTTTCACAGCATTACTAGGGCGCTCAGTGTATCTGCACTGATCCGTGGGGTTCTTTGGGGGGTGTGGTGATTCTTTAAGCATGTGGTTTTTTTGAAACGAACTCTTCATTTGTTCTGACAGAAATAATTGTTTGGTGTGCTATAAAGATACTTCCTTCCAACAACTAAGATTAGATATCAAAATAATTACTAACCATAACAGCAAATTACTCTTCCCTTTCAGGTTCCCTCTTGATGGAGTTAAATGATGTTCTGTAGTCTGATTCTAAATTAGTATGGAATGGAATTTGGCAATTATTGTCTCATGCCTGGAGTTAGATACACTATAAATAAACCATGTAATATATGGGTAACCACACACATTTTTTTCTTTCCCTCTTGCACCTCCTGTTTCTGACTCCTGGCCCATAATGGGATGACCAGGTTGTTAGATACTCTGTTCTGTAACCAGAACGTTATTTGAATTGCTAAGCTTGGCAGAAAGGTTTTTGTTGTGTTTATATTTCAGCAGTCAAGAAAGCTCTTTATGACACCATTAAGACATTTCAATGTGGAATCTAACTATCTGGAACTATAGTTTCTATAAGTAAGCAATTTTCCTGATATGCTGTGGCATACAGAGGCTGTAGACTTCCTAATTAAGAGGATCATTATCAGAACAGTTTCATTGTGAGCATTAACTGGAATTACTAATTCTTCAAATGTTATTTATTTGTTCTTCAGTGTGAATAGGTGACTATGTGAAGGTTTTTTTAAAAGTCATGTCCTGTCTACTGTGCTGCTCTCTCTCCCCCCCCCCCCAAAAAAAAAAGGGTCAGGGTGAACTATGCAATTTCAGTTATATGTGATATTATACTTCAGTATTTTTAAAACTGTTATGGTATAAACTCTGAAGTTAAGTTGAAATTCTACTTAGTATCACAGCTGTTCTGTTGCAGGATGTTTTATTTCCAATGCAATTAATGTTTGCAAGCATTTAGGCTTATATGAAGAACAGCAATTATTTTTGCTTCAGACTTAGCAAAACAGTTGGGAAGATGAGAGCACAAAAGCTTTTAATAAGGGTGTGTCATGCATAAAAGCTTTTAATAAGGGTGTGTTGGATACCTATATTTCTCCCAATCTCTGGAGTATAAAATATACTGCATCTGTGATTATGTACTTGATTTCTGGCCACAGAATGCTGATAACTTTTAAATCATGATGGCGCTGTACTTTCATATAAAGGATGTTCACAAAGCTATAGTGCTTTTTTTCACTGTGTTTCCAGAGGGTTTATTGTCTCTATTCCCAAAGTGACTTAGTTACTGTTAGTCAGCAGGAACTTATCTCGAGTGTTGGATAATACTAGCATTAGATGTTTCACTGACTTTTGTGATCTTGAAAAATTAAGATGGCTCTTTTGCTGTGGTTTTTATACTAAATTTATACAGAGTATATGCTAAAGACATAGCAGGGCAGCCGGTATAAACATTCTAGTACCATTACATAAAATTCACGCTACATGAAGACCTATTGTTGTGCTCCTGCTTCTTGACCCATTGCATCAATGTTGGCAGTTACTTCGTTGTAAGACTTAGGCAAAAATGTGTTTACCGACAGTGTGGTTCATTGCTTTGAATGTAGCAATTTCATCTTGCAGTTGAAGTTTGTGATCTTCTTTTCCTTTTAAAAGATAATGTTGATGTTAGTGCCAGTTATAGAACAGTTTTTTTCTTATGTTTGTTTACCAGCTTCATATGTCTAATTTTTCTACTGCTTCTGTTCTCACAGAATAGCACTGTTGGAGGAAGATGCATACATGTACAAAAGGGTACCTTTTGACAAGGGCTTGTTGTGCTGTCCTGTTAGGTGTCTAACCACCTCAGGTTTCGTGTGGTTATTCCAACAGTGTCTTTCCTATAGAAAAGAAAGGGATTGTGCTTGAAACTGGATGTGGAAACGCAGTTGGGTGATGCCTCAGTACTCTGAAGTGGATGAATTGCATACTACTGATGTTGGTCTGCCCTGTTAAATTCAAGAGAGGGGTCTTGTCTACATATGTCATCGGCTGTAGATAGCCAAGGTGATCAATCTGTTGCTTAACAAATTGGTGTGCATTAATCTTACTCTGCTTTGGAGAGATGATAGAGGGAATTTGGTGATGCTGTTCTGGTTGCTAATCATGTAGATAAAGTGATGCTTTGTAGGAGCATTTGTCTCAAAGGATGTAGAAGTGAGAGGATGGATATTAACAAAGAAGTGTAAGGAAAACAGCATAATACATAGGTTTCTGTTGCAGTGGTGTCTCCCGCCCTCTTGAGGCATCCCCCACCTTCAGACAATAGGAAGATTAAGTGCCCTAGCTTTTCTTGGTATTTTGTTTTTCTGTCTTACAGTTTAGGAATGTGTTTTGCCTAGGTCAGCTACATCTCTAAGTAAAGCTCTACCCTACAGAGGACATTACATCTCCCTTTACGTCTTTTTCAATGTAAAAATGACTATAATGCCATAGACCTTATGGTTTAAAGTATTCAGAATTGGACTGTATTTTAGTATTCCACTGCTATGCATTAATTTGCAGTTTTTTTGTATAACGTTGCCTTAATTGGGGAGCTTATTTTTTTAAAGAATGAACTCAGCACTTGAGTGGTTCTGTTAAGTCTTTTGTGCAGTCCTTTACAGCTGTGGTAAGTAGCTGTTATGTGAGCAAAGCCCTCTACTGGTAACTGTGTTCTGTTTGTTAAATACTGAGTACTATTTGGTTCCCTTGACAGACCAGAAGGTACTGATCTCAGAAGATTTTTACATCACCTCTTCTCCCCCAAACAAAATGAAAAAAACCCCAAAGGCATTTAAAACCACAAGTGTGCCTTGCATCTTCCCACACAGATATCCATGCACCTGTCCTCTGAATTTGGAGACAGAAGTAAGAAGGAAGACATGACTGATAGTCTTGATGCATAACGAAGGGGTTTCTGTTTGTTTTTACTCAAGATGGATGACTAATTTTTGTAAACTATCTATCTGGCTTTGATTTGTAACTTTGCAGTTTCTTCTCTTACGTGATAGGTTAAAACGTTTAACATAAGCGCAGTGAAAAGGCTGGATATGGCACTGCTTTTTAGCAAAGGATGTATTCTCTATTAAAAATGTTAAATGTCTGCTACACCTCTAACACTTAAATTTTTTTTTTCCAGTTCTTAGTTTGTGTCTGCTTAGCCTGTAGAGAAAACAGAGCTCAGTTGAAGATGCATAAAAGGCCAAAAGATGATACCGATTCATTCTAGGCTATCAAGTTATCTGACCATAAGGTCTATCTTTAAAAACTCCTTCCTTCCCCCTCTGCCTTTGCTGGAAGGCTGGAAGGCTTCTTGCAGATAGTTTTTTATTGTACTACCTTGCTGAATCTTGGTTACAGTCAGTAGATCTCTTAGTTCTTGAGTCAGTGTAGTTTAATTTGGATAGCTGCTTCTCCTCCTTGCTTTCCTTTGCATTTGCAAGCAGAAATTAATTCGTTTCTGAACTTCATCATACTAAAAGAATCAAGATAAACTATTTTTTAGTCTCTGTGCTATCGGACATCCTAGAAGTGTTTAATTTGTAACTGTTCTCGCTCATCACTTCTGAAAAACATGAGGTCAATGCACCTGTACTCAGATGAGACTTCAGCATCATGCAAAGTGATGTTTTTATGCTGTTTCAATCTCTGTGGAGAATCTTCACTTTGCTTATCCTGATACCCCATTTAATTACCACCATCTTTATCAAGGGGAAAAAATTTAATGTACTGCTCTGTTTGCAGCAGTAAACGATATTAGTCCTTCAGGGCTTGCATTTTATAAGGACCATGTGTATTTTGTAATTTTACATTGATTGGTGCTTGAATCTCTCTTATATAATCTTTGTGATAAGTCTTCAGTGCAAAACACCTATGGATTACTGAAATCCTTGAACTGTCTTCAGACTGCTAATATTGCTCTCACTACTTCGTTTTTGTTTTGTTCTGGAGAAGCTGGAAGTAACAGCACTCTTAAGTTACA